CAGACTGACCAGGGGTCACCTGCCCCCGGGGGGGGTCACCGACCTTTTTGAAACTGAGAGCTACTTCAAGGACACTTAGTAATTACGACGAGCTACTTGTCTGACACATAACGATGTTATAACAAGTGGAACCGATTCCAAAAGCACAGGAACAGTACCATTTCTGACCCTCTTGTTGACGAGTTTTATTTTTATTTCTGCGCAGTACAACATATATTTATGTCTAAATATACTTTTTATAGCTAAAATACTAAAATAGTTATATATTTGTCTGTTATTATTGCTTATATATTTACATACCCCGCGGGCACCTTAGGGAGTCCACACGGGGGTTACCAGGTGCCCGAGGGCACCACATGTGGTGAACCCTGGTATAGACAGAAATTTTTTTATATATGTTCCTTTTTTTACCTTTAACCATAAATATTTGTTTTTTACAACTTGTATTTCACGTTAATTGTTTTAGTCTTAACGTCGTGCCAGGGCTGGGATTCGAACCAACAATCGTCTGAGTATATGATCAAGTAGCTTTAGCCGCGAGGCTATGCTCTTTAAAGTAATAATAGCAATATATAAATTACATGTAAGACAATAACATATATTTATATGTGGATATGTTTGTTATCGTATATATGTTATATTGAAATACTGCCCTCTACAGGAAATAACTAAACTAAGCCACAGCACGATAACAGGGGCAATAACTTCACAGTGGACCTTTAGAAACCCAAACAATTACCAACCAAGGGCAGAAGACAGTTCTCAGGAGAGCGGTGCTAAGATACGGGCCGCATTTATGGGCTGACATTTTGACGAGCGACCCAGATGGAACAACGCGGTGATGAAACGTACCGTCATGATGCCCTCCAGCAGCCCCGAGTCTGGTTTGGGGGGGATCTGCCGTTCCATTGACCACTTCTCCACGATGGACGCCACCTGGGGGTTTTCCACGTTGAGGATGCGAAACCCAGTCATGTTGACGCCACAGAAGCGATACGGCTCCAGGTCGATGGCCATCAGGTCCTGCAGAGGGCGCAGCAACGGGAACGGAGTTTAGAGTTTGTTGGTTTGTTTATTCATCATCTGCAGATGCTGTGTACTTTCAGGAGTACTTTCAGGAGTACTTTCAGGAGTACAACTGCAGTTTATTTTTCACAATAAAAGCAACGACTCAGCATTTGATTAAACAGATTCTATATTAAGACCAAAAGAACGAAAAGTAGAAAAAAAGACAAAGTCGTCAACGCCGGACGAGGAGCGCTCATTTTCTACAGCTGGAGCGGGAAATAAAAACAAGACAAAGAGTCTAATTTAGTCTCCCTTTAACTACAAAAAAAAAAAAAGCCTTATGTTTGGCATGGTTGTTAAGCATTACGTCCACTAGGGGCAGGGCTGAGTTCAGAGCTCATTTCCGGGCAGACGTCAGTTTCTCCGTACATTTATGAAAACTTAGCTTTAAACTGTACTGTACTGTACTGTACTGTACTGTACTGTACTGTACTGTACTGTAAACGTGTTTGTTATTTACTGAAAGAAGTTTTGTTTTTACAGAGTGAAATTAATCTTCATTTAAATTAGGAAAAAATAAGCTCTAGATTTAAGATATTTCATTAGCGCCCTCTAGAGTCTATTAAATTTAAAAATTATTTCGTATTAGTGATAAAAAAATGGTCAAATGAGAAATTTAAAAACATTTAAGCCATGAATAGAAAATGTGTTGAGAATTGTTACTGATCATAATCAACTGGCGGCTCGTGGACCAAATCCAGACCGCCGAATTGTCGACTGGATTCCAAAAATAAACATCAAATAATGTCAGACAAATTTTGAAAAAACAGTTCGTAAACATTTTAGCTGAAAAATACAAACTCCTCCTTTCACAGAGTTGTTGATTTGAAGTCAAACTTATCTGTGGAGATTTCCTCCAGTTTTTTTTTTTTTTTAGTTTTTTTTCGGGGGAATGACAGAAAGCAGGTTGTTCCAATTATAAATAAACATTGTTGCCCTCCCGCAGTGCTTGAACACACACCACAGACACGACAACAACAACGCTGCTGCTGCTGCTGCTGCTGCTGCTGCTGGCGGTGACTTCTGTACCAGAAGAACGCCTTAGTACATAAGTGTTTTAGCTCCTCAGAAGAAGCTGGAGCCGGAGCTGCTGCGGCACAACGACAGAGTCATTTTAAAAGGACAAGGAAGTCATTACCCGGTACGACTGTGCACTCGCCTTTTCATGCTCTAATAAGTCGGCATTTCCTACAACTGGGAGGATGAAACGTCGCAGTGAAATCCATTGAGGTGGAATTGAACTGCCGTGTGTACAATATATTTATCCTCCAGGATCAAATAAAGCCCCCAGGTATAATCTGATAAACAACGTTACTATGAACACGGCAGCGTCTGAAGACAGAGCGCCATCTTCTGTCACCTCTCCTGACTGTAGTCGGAGTCTGCGTTGAACCTCCGACCAGAAACAGAACTTAAACGTTGACCATGTCCAGGTTTTTTTAGAGAAGAATTTCTAAAATAAAGATGGCGGCGTTCTTTTGTATAAACGTCTTAACAAATCTGTATAAAAGTGTAACATATTATGTTAGAACGTCCTGACTGGACGTCCATATATGGACATGGACAATTTGTCGTCGTCTTGACAAATTTGTGAGATTCAAGATGGCGGTTGATGGAACAGAAGTGTGAAAAACATGTCTGAGAGCCAGATGTTTGGAGAAAAATGTACGGAATTTCAGGTATTTATGTAACCGAGATAAGCTAGTTTTTATTAGCATACTGTTGCCTGAAGATGTCGATGGTTTTTTTTTTGCGCAAAATGTTAAGAAATAAAACAGAAACTTCTTTCGTTCTGACGTCGTCGTATCAGTGAAACGTGTACTTTTACTACGAAGTGAAATAATTATTCATGTTCCGATTAGATTCCAATAAGTCAATTGGACATGGACTGAACTCAACACTGCCCCTCAGTGGATGCATTGTTTAACCGTGACGTTAAACATAAGGGTTTGCATTTTTTGGGCGGCTGCGTTTGAAACAGACGTTTAGACAAACGTGAAGAGAGGAGGAAAAAAAAAAAGAGGAGGATTTATACGGAGCACTCCGAAAAAAAAAAACAGATTTGATTTTTTTCCCCCTTTTAACAGAACACACACACACACACACACACACACACGCTGCACAAACATGACTCACGGCAGAACAATGTCATCTCTACGCTGTCAAGCGAAAAAGATGACACCTATCACGCCTGAACCTCTGTGTCATATTGTATTATAACAACAGACTGAGTCCAGTGTGTGTGTGTGTGAGTGTGTGTGTGAGTGTGTGTGTGTGTGTGTGTGTGTGTGTGCAGGAGGCAGGCAGAACCACTGAGAATAATTGGTATTAAAAGGAACATGCTGGCACTCATTCCCAATCAGTGTGTTTGTCACCGGTGTCACAGTGAAGAGCAGCCGGGGCCCCCTGCTGGCTCGGCTTATATTAGCCCAACCAGATCGTTTTAGCAGAGTGAGCAGAGTGGAAACGTCGGAGAAACAATGAGCCACGCCATAAGTCATTTTCAGACCAACGCACACACTGGAAGACAGATTTGCTATTTAATAAATGTGAGCGTTGAGGAGGAAAATGACAACGAAATGAGCAGCGACACACACACACACACACACACACACGAACACACACACACACCAAGCCGCGCGGCGTGGCTTATGTGTTATTACACGCCCTCGGTGCTTTGAAGATGAATGTCACTGATGTGTTTGGCCTCTGGATCTGGATTTGCTCTTTGTGCAGAATTTGTTTAAAAAACAATAAATGACTCGAGAACTCGTCCGATGACGTCGTGTGTGAGATTTAACGCCGTGTATTTAGTACTGCATGAATGTGATACTTAAAAATATATTAACTGAACTTTACTCAGTGCTAATGCGTTTTTATAATTATGTTATAATTTATACGAATGTAAATAAAAACACGTTTCATAATTAGAACCTAATACACAATTTCCTCTCACATTATTCTCTTCCTCTGAACCTCATATATGTCAATATAATAAAAATAGACCCAAATATACCCTTCACCCCCCCCAGCATATAAACCTGCAGTATGAAAAATTTAAAGTACCGCTAGGAAGGAAGTGATGCAATAACAGGAAGTGATTGTTTTTGAAGGTACAAATATTGACGTAATAAAACTGTTTGCTCGACAGGTCATTTGTATAATGTTTAAAAAAAAAAAAAGGTCGTGTTTTCACCGGGACCAGCAGAGTCAGAGTAAAGATGGCCGCCTGGTCTAAACAAGGACAAAGTCATATATAAAAAAATACATAAAAAAAACAGAGAGATTTGAATTGGTCTTGGAAAAAGTGGGAAGACCTTCAGCTCTAACATCAGTTGTTCTTTTTCTTTTTTTTTTCTCATAACTTAAATCTTTTGCAGCCTGAGTTTCTGGACCATATTTCTGACAAAATATGCAGAAAGAAAAAGTGGAACTTCACACTGCACTGTGGTGGGACGTGAACCCAGCCACAGAGCGGAACAGTGGGATAATGAAGCTGCCGCTGCGGTGCTGTTACGTCGCAGTCAAATTAAATCGGAATTAAATTTCCTTTATTTATTTTTCTGCTGACGAGACTTCACTTCACTCTTGTAAATATTAACTGTTACTACAGCACAACGTTAAGTGTTCGCCGTGGTTTCACGGACGACTCCAAAAAATTGTCCCCGCCCCCCAGCTTGTCACAGCTAATTGATATAATGGACCGCTTCCAAAAAAACCCACTGGCAATTACCCACAATTCATCAAAAACTCAAGCACCGGGGGGCGCAGCACAAAGGAGAGCGTGTTTGCATTAACGAGGCCGATACGTTACCAGAGTGGTGAAGATGTAGTGGTAATACTCCGTCATCATCCCCATGGTCTGGGCCTGGAACCACACGGAGACACAGAAGACACAGAAGACACAGAACAAGGTGAGACTGAATGGAGGGGAAAATTCATCATGTCGGCGTCCACAGAAAAAAAGAAGAGACATTAAAAACGTGGCGGAAAAAAGAAAAAGAAAAAATCAGCTATTTGTTTTTTGTTTTTTTTTTGTCCTCACTTAAATGTTCTGCTCTACACGTAGCCAGAGGTAGAAAACAGCAGCAGCAGTTAATTTTTTTTTTCTTTTTTCTCCTATTTAATTAAAGAGTTTGGAGCTGGTTTGGAGCTCGGGCCTCTGTCCTGGCACCGGAACAAGCGTTCAATCAGCAGCTAGGTGCAGATTCTTTGTCTGATGGAGCGACACTCCATCACTGCCACTTGTTTCACTCAATCCACAATCACGTTCCCAGAGCAGCTAGGCTTCCATTTAATTGTACCATCTGTTGTGAGCGGGGGAGGGGGGGGGGGGGAGGGGGTAAAAAACAAGGTTATGTAAATAAGATGCTGCGCTTATGAGGAGGCAAATCCACTTCCTCGTCTCCAAACGCTGCTCTGTGTGGTGAGTGGGAGAACTCATTAATTAAAGTCGTTTACATGCACAGCCGCGTCGTGGGTTTACAGTACGACGCCGCAGTTCAACGCACAGTCCAGTTGACACCAGGGCCGGGGTCTTTGAAGTTCCTCAAACCGAGGACTGAGTTACTGTTGTGTCGTAACTGCAGGTTCCTGTTGATCATTCATTATTTTATTAATCACGATTAATCACGATTTACTGCGTTAAAGTTAAGATACATATATATATATATATATACATACATATATCCACATACAAACACATATAAACATATATTGTTTATTTAAATACATTTACATATATGTATATATACTGTATATATTGACCATGACATGACACAATAAATATGATTAATCGCGATTTATTGAGTTAGTCATGATTCGTATATATGAATATACAATATACATTTAATATACATATTGCATATTTATGTATATATACATATATGTAAATGTATTTAAATAAACAATATATGTTTATATGTGTTTGTATGTGGATATATGTATGTATATATATATATATATATATACATACATATATCCACATACAAACACATATAAACATATATTGTTTATTTAAATACATTTACATATATGTATATATACATAAATATGCAATATGTATATGTATGTGTATACATATATACTATAATAGTATATATGTGGATATTTAATTTGAATATATATTTATAGATATATTTATACATATATTTATTAATCTTGACTTTAACAAAGTCAAAAATCACAATTAATCGTGGATTAATCATGATGTATAATCACTCTGAATTAATTATGAATAATCCCCCTGTGGTTGATGGGGAAATTACAGTGTTAGAATAATAAAACATGGCTGTTTATTACTACTTTTTAAACGTGTGGTTTTGTGACGATAAAAACGTTTGTGTTTTTTCTCTTCGCGCCATGAACGTTCTCTGACTTCCACTGCGGAGTGGACGCTGATGTCATGTTACAGGAGGTGCAGCCTGGCCGTGGGCACATGTCAACTCACATCGTAACAAATGGGGAGGACTGAGTTATTTAAATAACATGAAAGCCCATGATGCACTTGGTAAACATGTTACAGAAGCTGACAGCTGCTGAATACAAGAGATGGCAAGGGAGAACGGGAGGGGAGGGGCTGGGGGGGGGGGGGGAAGGGATAGCATCATCACGCAGCCTCTTACTGACATCTATAAAGCGCACCACCTACGCTGCCTCCACTCACTGACAGCTCTTTGACGACTGACACTTATTTAGATCCAAACATTCATGTGGTGACGGAGAACAACGACGACGTCAAATTAAGGAGGAGTTCACTGTAGTGTCTGCACCTCACCACTAGGTGGATTTACCGCAACTGTGATCAGGGATTGGACGAGAAACATTTTGTAATTTGTACAGCCGTATAAAGACTTTGTTCATATCTATATCTTTTACAGGAAAACCAGAAGAAACAGGACGCACCGGGTGACGTTTGTGCACAAGAACATAAGAATAAGGATAAGCGCGATATTAGCATGAATAAGTAAAATCTGTAAGAATCGTAAGTGGTTTTTCCTTAATGAAAACCCAATAATGGCCTAAAAAAATTAGGCCATTTTGGGGGAAAAACGGCTGTATATCAAAGTGATAGTCACTAGATGGCAGCATTGCAGCTTATTTTATTAATCTATTTTAAATAATCAGGAGATTCAGAAACTCATGGTTTGAACAGATGAACAAATAAATATTTTACCAGATACTCAATAGTATTTCAATTTGGGGGGGAATGAAAAACCTTCTGTCCACTAGGGTGATTTGGGATATCGACAAAAAGCTAATATCGGACTGATATCGGCAAAAAGCTAATATGGGACATCCCTAAATAAACGTCCTGTTGTCAGCTTTAATAAGATCATGGTTTGGTGTCAATTGTTTTTCTTATCACTGCAGTACTTCAAGTCTCCAGTAGAGCAGTTTTTTAACATCACTCCTGGTTACTACCACTAACCCTAACTGGTTAAAGACCGGCCGCTGCGCTGACTGACCTGTTTAAGAATCTGTGCTGCCATGTGATGACTGCAGTCGAAGATGATGCGGAACTCTCGACTTCTCTTCATCTCTTTCAGAAGAGGCCGCGTGTCCTGAGTGTCGACCGGCAGCTGCCTGATCTTTAACCTTATGTTGTACCTGGAGGGAGCCATTATCAGCTCCTGGAGTCTGATGAGACCTGGAGAGGAGAAACGGAACGTGATGACGATTGGTGTGGAGAAAGGTTGAAGCTGAAGTTGCCGTTATGAAATATAATATACAGCGGTGTGTAAAAGGTTTTGGACGGGGTTTGAGTGTGTCCATTTAATAAACCCTACGTTTTCCAAGTATAAAAAAGGCAGGAGATGAAACCAGTTCTAATGGAACTCCATATGTTCACATTCCTTTGAATGGTTGTAATTTTCTAGAATGTGTCGTCACGTGCGTGCTCTCTAATTTGTGTGAGTGTTGAGAGTGCAGCAGATGTGGTCTGAGGGGACGGTTGCTAAGTCTGTTAGCAAAACACGCAAAAAAACCCCCCAAAAAAACTGGGAGAATTCCTACAGCAAGCAGAAACGTTTAATTGACTAATTAACAGTTAATTAACTCCATTCATCTGCTGCGTAGCCGTAGTGCTAACGACAGAATTTGCATCAAGATATACTCTCAGCAGGAGAACGTTGTTTGGAGACATTTGGGACAATCATTTAGAAAACTAAAAATCTGCCCCGGGTGGTGTCCAGCCCTCCGGTCCAGTTCGTTTGTTTTAACAAGTTGGAAAAGACGAAACTCTACGCTGGATTTAACCGATGCAGACGACGGCCTGAAGCTTCTACACAGCGTCGCGTGTCAACGTTACAGAAACGTGAGGCGGAGAAAACTTTACCTGTGCTGTCGTCGTACACGACGGTGGCTGTTTTCCATCTGAGGAACTGCACCAGGTCCAGGATAGCGTAGCTAAGTGAGGAGTAATCTGGGTACAAGTTAGCATAGAAGGTGTCCCTGCTGTCCATGGGGTGATGTTTCCACCGCACCTGGATGTGTGGCACCTCCAGGGCATTACAGATGGACTGCACGGCATTGGACGATGAACTGTGCGAGGGTCCGAATATTGCGACCACGCCTAAAGACAGTTGGTCACAAGCTAGAAAAGGAAAAAAAAAAAAAAAGAAATCACACATTTCAATGTTGTGAAACCATAAAAAAATACATTCTACGGCACTGTTTTTTTTTTCACTTTGGCATTTTATGTTCTTGCCAATACACACCCCTAAAAATCCTGCAAAGATACCACGTATGTACTGTATATATACACTGTTAAAGTCAAAATAAACACGTTGATGTGCAATAATTAATTTGTGAAATGAATCGAATCACTCTGAATCTAAAAAAACTACCATCCAATTATTCACTGTTGCTGTAAAAGACAACCAACACATGCTGTAATTTATGCATGGAAAAAAAAAAAGTTTTGTTTCACCAAGAGTTCCTCAAGCTTAAAATACCATTAACAACTCCCAGCAGTTTTTGGAGTTTTTTCAACTGGTCTGAGGTCCACTTCGTGTCCGAACAGACAATTTTTATTTTAGGAATCTCAATTAATTTTCAAATTTTTCAAAATGTTCTTCTTCTCAGACTAGCACTCACCTTTTCTCGATGCCTCGAAGCTGTCGTAGATATTAATCCTCTGAATGTCATATGTCAGTGTGGTGTTTGGCAACAACGTCCTGTTTCTGTTGATGTTATTGACGGCAAATTTAAAGGCAAGCTCCTCCGCGCTGACGAGTGAAACCGGTCCATCTGTCTGCTCGAAAATCCCCCCTGGGAAACACAACAGAGGAAACGGTGAATACAACGACAGTCCCTTCTCCAACGGAGGCTCGAGCAGCATCGAAATAATCATAGAATCATCGACTAAATTACACCGAGCAGCAGACATCGGTTTCAGACACTGTACATCAGAAATTTGCGAAAAAAGTGTTAGAGGTCAAAGAGAGTGTATTCCAAAAACTATCAAGAAAGTGTTAGAGGTCAAAGAGAGTGTATTTAACATTTTGAATTTTTTAACCTTTTTTTTAACTATTTATTCCAAGTATTAACTTGCCTTCATTTGTGTATCCACCAATATCTAGTACCACTACCGATACTTCTTTGCGTAGGAAAATCTCTTACATCCAGTTTTATTTTATTTTCAGTAACAAAAGACTCCTGTATTTACACCCAAAAGTAAACAAATATTTCCATGTATTTAAACTAACTAATCCTAAAGAACCCAAAAAGAATACTCAGTTCGTGCCTATGTGATTCCAAAGACCCTAAGAAGACCCCCGGCTTCAACCCCTCTGATCTAATGTAAGTTAAGTGTCTGGAAGCCAAGATCAGATAGATAAGAGCTGATATTAATGACTGGAGGGGTCGGGGGGG